GCTCGGCTCAGCCATTTAGTTGCAAACTGCAAATACATTTCCATGTTTTATTTTATCAGTTTTACATGTCAAAGGGATATATAGTGTACTGCACGGGGATGGGTGGGCAAGAACAAAATAGACGGAGAGTTGCGAATGAAGACGTAACTTTTAACACTCCTAAATTTATACATAAGTGAGAAATGGTAAATCAACTCCGAGAAGTGAAATCTCTCAACTGAAGCGGACACCACTGTAAGGCGGACACCTCTCGAAGATGGACAGATAGAACTGGTCCCAAGTACTCCCACCTAAGAGAGTGTTCACTGTACCTCAACTTTTACAGACCCAAACGACAACCCCATATGCATATCAAACATTACAAACCGATGCTAATCTTATCGGCTGATTAAGTCTCCCCAAAGGAACCTCTTAGAACACGACTCATCAAACGAAAAAGGCTACCAGAGAAAATGTATGACCATTTATGACTCCCAAAGTACCGACATCACCAGTAGTTACTTTTATTATTGTATCTTCATTGTCTCTTTAGACTACAAAGTGACACAACGAGGGCAGATGCACATCAGTCACTTAAGAGAACTTGCAGTCAAGATCTCGGAATTGAAAATCAAGAATGCTGAGTTGACGGCGTATTTCAGCGGTAAAATTCAAGACCTTTGCAAGAAGGTGTTAAGAGACTGTTGCATTGAGTTGGAGAGTTCCGTTGAAGACGTGGAAAGAGTAGCTTCATACGAAAGCTATGGAAATTATCTCGAGAATTACCCACAAATATCCCAAAGCACTGCATCAAAATATGAACAGATGTGTTCTTCGTCTGAAGAATCAATGGCTAAACATTTCCTATCCATTGTTCCTCCTCTCATTCAAGACGTTAAAGCAATCTGTCGCGATGAGATGATTCCAGATGTCCAAAATGGCCTGAGAGGACTGCAGAAGGAAATCTTGAACAAACATGCGTCTGATGTCCGAGAAGCTAAACGGAACAACAACATTCGGAAGCTTGTATGTCAAGTGTGTAAGATCCTTGAGAATCTATGTGTGAACAACCGTGACAGCGGGAGCCAACACTCCACCCAACTAATTCGCAAGTGGGGCAGTAGCCTGGGGATTTATCCCATTCTGGAACTTCTCAAGCCCTTCTTCCAGAAATGTCCACACGATGTGCGATTGTATAAGAGGTTAGAACTGTTTTCGTGTAATATAACAGACATCGTGTCAGATGAGTTAGATGTTGACGAAGTCTTCGTGCGTGATTGTTTTGACGTTTCGTCAACTCTGATACATTTTGCCAAGAGTGATCCAGCCAAACTGGTGAGATTTGAACTGACTGACTCAACAAATCATCCCGTGACATGCAAAGGTGAAAGCGTAGTACACGATACGGACAGTGACACATACTCTCAGGTGTTCTTTCCCCGGAACGAATCAGAAGGAGAACTACTGCTTCATGCAGTTGCACGTGTTCATAGCAAAGGGCAAGTCCGCAAAGTAGGAGCATTTCAGTCCGTGATCATACTTCCTGTATCTGCAGAGGAAGCGTTTGACAAGTGCATGACTCATTCGGTTGATGTCGCAGTGATAAAGCTAAAGGTTAACGATTCACAAGATATTCGAGTAGTCCTGTCTTCAACACAAAAAGAGAAACTCTCATTGTTGGTAGGCGACGTCCTCAAACGAGAACTACGAGAAGAAGAGGTGGACTGGAAAGGGTCACAGATCACCCGGTGTCGCCTTACGGTGCGTGCGCGTGCCCTTGGCACAAAGCTGCTAGGAAGTCTCCGCCTGGTTTATGAATGGGAGTCTGAAGCAGTTTTCCTTGACAGTAAGGACTTTGTGGCTCATGCCGATTCGTCCGCAGAACGTGCTTGCACACCTGAAGTACGGCTTGTAGGTAGGTTTATTCTCTTGTAGTTGACCTTGTTATACCTGCCAACTTTTTGTGTGAGTCAAAATGTGTGAGTATGCGTATATCCTGGATTTTCACGAATTCCGAATATGAACCAACGACGTCCGAAGAAGCATGAAGATTTTCCAAAGTCTTCCGAAGGTGCTCTGAAGATGTCTCGTGTTTAGAATCGGCCGAAAAGCACACGACAAGCATAAGGCAAAACGCAAACTGTACGTCCTGTAAGGACCTGCGAACCCCCGTTCATGCAAACCCATGCACGTGGCCTCCTGGGAGAGCCGCTGCCACCATTGCAATTGGCTCAAGTCTTATCCTCCTCACCCCTAGTGAGACATAAGGCCGCATTGGCTCGAGTCTAACTTAGCCTAAATTCCATTTAGCCACATGTACATTAAAATCTACTTTACTTCTTGTACAATTTTATGGCTGCCATATTGGTGTCACATTGTACTAAATCGCTTGCTTGTAGTCCCACTTTTCTCTTAAGGTCCTACGAGCGTTTTAACCCTTTCACTCCCAGAGTCAAACCTTGAGTCCATAAATGTGGTTGTACATGTTAAGTCTGTGGATTAAACCTTCGTGTGTGACCATTCAAATGAAAGCTATTGAGCAGTACTTTCAAGTGGTACTGTTTGTTTTTGACACTTTTACAAAAATTAAATTCAATACTGTATTTGTTCCTCAGTTATGAACTTAGCACTCTTGGGAGTGAAGGGGTTAATTTTTTAACCCCGCAACATGGCGTGAGCGAAAAACGCCGCGACCCACGGTCTTGCCCCATTCCCTTCGGTCCCAAGCCCTCGCCAGGTGCTCCTTTCCTGATTTCGGGAGAGACTGGAAGCCATCGATACTAAATACTGTCATTTTCTCAGATAATTATTTTCGTAATAACTCGGTTATGAAAACGCCACAGCTATAATTTGGACAAAACATTTCTTTCTGCCTGCTTCTATAACCTGTTAGTTTCCTGATGTTGTTCATGCAAGCAAACAGTTTTTGTATCAATGATGCTGTAAGCAACCAATAGTCGACTTCATTTTCATAACAATTGTTTACATTTCCCTTACTCTGTATTATCTGTTGTCATTTATTCTCTCTTTTCTAAGGTCTAAGTGATTCCACGATGCCTGAAGAAGCAGCAGCAGCAGCTCTTGCATTACCATGGACTTCTGATGAAGGAAATTTTTCCATGGAAACGTTTGGTTCACAACGGATACAGACACACACCCAAATACGGTGTGATAAAATAGGTAACAAAATGTAGTTTTTTCTGCTCCCGCGGTGGCCTAATGGTTAGCGCGTTAGACTGCAGATCGAGCGGTCTGGGTTCGAGCCCTGGCCGGGCCGGATCATTGTATTGTGTTCTTGGGCAAGACACTTAACTCTCACGGTGCCTTTCTCCACCTGAGAGTATAAATGGGTATCAGTGAACTGTTAGGGCAACCTAACAAAATGATGGAGGGTAACCTGGCGTTCAACTAGCATCCCACCATTGATCAAGGGGTAGTAGCAATACTCCTAGTCGGTTTCATGCTACGGAAACCGGAATAAGCTCCGGCATGTGGGCCAGTTTGGCCCCAAACGCTTTACCTTACCATCTTCTTAGCGGACGTTCACTTCAACGGGTTCCGAATGCAAAATGTCACGTCTAGCTGTGGGTTGTGATTGGTAGCTAGATTTCCATCCATTTTTTTTTTCAGGGTCTGTTGGTTGTCGTCGTAATTATGATTGACGGCAGTGAAAAAAGCAATCGTTAGTTGGGTTTTAGCCTGTATAGGAGTCGTTTCCTTTCCGAGAGCGCGGGAGGCGTGCGCGTGAAGGCATGGAGCGCGCTCTCGGAAAGGAAACGACTGCTACGCAGGCTAGTTGGGTTTTGACTTCAGAGCTCGAGAGATTGGTAAACGTAGAAAAGCTGGAAATTGCGGTCACGAGCTCGTTTTTGATTGATAAGCATTTAAAACTAAAATTAAGGGTGTTTTTGAAAGGTTTTACTTTTGCTTTGGTAACCTGTTATGCCAAGATGATCACAACGTTTTCATTAGTGATTGGGCATTAGTTTGATACAGGAGCCCATCACTAGGAGCGAGCAACTGGACTGGATTCGTGTCACAGCGTTTTTACAGACCAGGTTATTTTTAGATTCGCTTTTTCCCGCGAATTCGTATTCCCGCCAGACAATCAAACGTTTTTCCTTTGTAATCATTAATTGGCATTACCGCGTAACAAAGGCCGCAATTAGGTCGCCATCTTTTAATTGTCTTTTATTTCATTTCATATTACACATGGGTCCAGAAAAACATTTTCCCGGGAAAAAGGAATCTAAAAATAAACCGGTCTGTAAAAACGCTGTGACATAGGCATAGTGTCGGAGTTGCTCGCTCCTAGTGATGGGCTCCTGTTTGATATCATTTTTTAATCAACTATATAGGGTGGTAGTATTAATCTATCAAACTACAAGGGTTGTAAGCCGCTTTGAGCCACCATTTTGTCCACCATTTTTAACTCGTGAATGCGAAAGCAATGAATGGGTTATAGCATTTGGTTGACACATTTCACTCGCTCGGTCGATGGGCTGTAAGCTTTAATCACGCTATTAATTTATGCATATTAATTTATTCATGAACGAGAGAGCAATAGGAGCTTTTGATTTTACAATCTTGTTTCAGAGCTTCACTACCATCAGACTAATATGACAGGTCACAACTGTATGGTGGGAGACAAAACCACTCTCAACACATTAACGCCCACTGTTAGTCAGAGGTAAGCACTCATCATTTTGAGCTTTCCACACATTCTCAGTCATTAACAAAAAATTTAGAATCGAAGCAGTATCTGTCACATTTGAACCTACAACCATGGTCATAATTGTTGGAAAACTTTGTTTTTCACACATTTTACTCCTCCTCTGTTTAATGTTGACAAAATACTTTCAACTGGCACGTGAATGCATTTTGTTATTTTCCAATATTGAAAGGAGGAACGGGGGAGCTGACACGCATTTAGTAGCTATTACGATCATAATATGAAGTTTTTGCATTTTTACAACTAAAATTGTCCAAGGTTGTAGTTATATGGCCTAAGCTCCCACGAGTCTCCTGTAGCTCAGTGGTAGAGCGTCCGACCGGTGCGCGGAAGGTCATAGGTTCGACTCCTGTTGGAAAAAACTTGGAAATGTTTTCTTAGTAGCTTGTGTCATTGACTGATTAACATCTTTCTACAGGAGCTCCTGCTTTCTATTGATATTTCCTCTACGTACTGTTCTTCATTCCCTAAGTCCGTCGAGGCCTGAGATGAAATAAAGTTTGAGGAAAAATGCGGCCGTGATAAATCTGGAAACACATTTTTGCTTCTCGCTCGACGGACGTAGGGAAAGTGGGACTGCTCGTAAGTCCCTGGAGGGGGGGGGGGGGGGGGGGGGGGGGGGGGGGGGGGGGGGTGGGGGGGGACTCTCTGAAATGTCTGGTGGTGGTGTTCGGCCTGCTTCTTGAAACCCTTACCCTATTTCCGACCAACATATGTGATTTTTCCATACCCTACTTCAGACCTGACCAAAAAATCGATACTCTATTTAAGACCTATACAATTAGTATACGCACGTGTCTAATACATGTCTTCAGCTACCCAGGAATGGGTTTCACTTGAGAAGGGCTTCAAATTATCCGATGTTAATGGCAAAAAAATACTTTCGTCTAAAAGCCAAACCTGGCCAGAGTGCACAAAACATATCATATTTCAGACCAAAATGGTCAAAATCTATACCTTATTTCAGACCAAAACGGCTCAAAAACCATACCCTTTGGCGCTGCACATACCTATATAGCTAATACAAGGGAATACTCCCCCCCCCCCCCCCCCCCGGTCGTAAGTCTAGTATAAATCAGTAGTTTTAGCACAGTAAAACATAACCAAATATAATTGTTGTTATTGACGAATTACGTGGGTGCTTTCAGTTCCCTTGAGGCTGGACCGAGTACTGCTCCACACAGAAGTATAACTGAAGGAACAAGTCCACAGGAATAAACATCTTCTGGAAAATAATTCACCTTGAGCAATTTGACAGGTTTTTAGGACATTTCTGTCCTTGTCAATCGCTAAGAAGAGATGAAGATTGGGGAATGACAACTGAATCCTTCGATGTTGGAATTTTCGCTCTATCAAGTAGTGGATTACAAGACTATAACTTTTAGAAAGCAAATGGAACCCCGATATCTGTCCTGAGTATGTTGCTGACCTATTTCTGAGGTCTGATACGAAATACGCCTTACTTATCAAATAATTTGTTATCCCTAGATTTAACAGGGGTTTCATTAGAAGCCGGCTACCGGCGGTCTACCGCCGCCTACGTTGCCTCTTGCCGCCGCTTACTAATCAAGCCTTCTGGCCTTCTGAGAGTTTACTTATAAGATTTATGAAAAGAAAAAAAACAAACAACGACTGTAACAGTGTAAGTCTTTAAACTCCAAACTTCATATAGAATAATCGCAAGATCGTTTAAAATACTGTGATCGGTAAAAAATTGTCATATATAGCAATATATATGATTGCCAGAATGCTGGAAATTGCATTTCCGAGCTTCTACATTTACAAAATGTTCTGGGGGGCATGCCCCTATACCCCCCTAGTATAAAGGGGCCTTACGGCCCCTTTATTGGTCACAGCCGCCTATTCCACCATGGTAAGCCGCTTACTTCAAAAATTAATCAAACCCTTGGATTTAATACAGCAACATATGGTAAGCACTCTATCAGATAAACTGGGACTAAGTTGAATATTGTACCCGATAGTAAGAACATATATTAGAAGAAAAATATTCGTCATTGACTTAAATACTCTAGTGACCGATAATTACTGTGCCAATTGTATTTTATGAAGTACTTAATGTAAGTGTTTATCTTGGTAGTTAAACAACAAGTTTTTATCCTGTATATAATTGTAAATATTTTAGCATTTTAACCTATTTTAGAATTTTTAAGTTTGAATATTTAGATTTTGTTATTTTCATTTATTTTATAGTGTCACCAACTAACGAACGATATTCTTCAGCCAGGCCAAAGTTACAGTAAAATGGTTGAAACAAAACCCCGATATAACGAACCCTGTTATAACGAAATCACCGTTATAACGAACACAATCCAGAAGCATGCACAAACTTAAAATCTACCCCGATATAACGAATGTCATCCCGCGCCTGAAGTTGAATGCGAAACAGATCAACAGAGATGGAAAGTCTTGTAATAATACTATTACTATTTCCTTTGTAAAATACTCAGTTTAAAAGACGATTCAATCTAATGCTGAGTGGTGTAATGCAACGTGACATTGTTTTATTTTAAATAATTATTAGGCAAACCTCGAGATAACGAAGATTTTAGTCGTTTTCTCACAAATTCGTTATAACAGGGTTTCGTTTATAACGAACACCCGTTATAACGAACACATCTTCCCAGTCCCTTGGCACTTCGTTATATCGAGGTTCCACAGTAGAGTGAGGCAAAAGATAAAGCCTAAACAGAGCCTGGGAGTCCTGTGGTATTAATAAGGCTCATTTTAATTTAGCTAGTTAGATTTGTTACAATAAACCTTTCATAACACTGCAGTTTTACGTCGATTCTGGTATTGTACAATAAAAGGCAAATCACCAAACTAGCTGAAACACTTTAATCCCCCAAAATACTTTTTATTTCAATTTCAATATTACGCCAATCTAGTTCCCAGAGTCCTCGTTACCCTTGTCCAGCGGTGGAGCGGCCAACAAGGAGCTCTGGCGGGAAGCGATCCGCCATGACAGGATTTTTTGGACTTCCGGCTCTACTGCGCATGTGTTCGACTTCCTGTTTCAACTAACGGACGCCAAGATTCTTGGACTTCCGGTCTTACTGCGCAAGTCAGGCGGATCACTCCATCCCAGAGGTCCTTGTTGGTCGCTCCACCGCTGGACAAGGGTAACGAGGACTCTGGGAACGAGACAGATATTACGTCAAATAGATAGGTGATAAGAATTAATACAACAATCAATTGTTTGATGTATCACCACATTCTCAGATCCGACATCAAAAGAAATGTATGGCACCAGGAGCCCATCACTAGGAGCGTCCATCTCCCATACTCCGTCTATGTCACAGCATTTTTACAGACCGGGTTATTTTTAGACTCCTTTTTCCCGGGAAAAAATATGATCTCCTTGTCAATTGAGAAATATGACACGTCATTCATTACATCACAACTTTTGATTGGCTTGTTTGAATAGGAGTTCGCAAGAAAAGGAATCTAAAAATAACCTGGTCTGTAAAAACGCTGTGACACGAATCCAGTCCAGTTGCTCGCTCCTAGTGATGGGCTCCTGATGGCACTCATCAAGGATATCAGTAACATTTGAAACTTGGAACCTTGAAAATCCACCAAAAATGGGACGAAGGCTTTTCTTACGTTACATCCAGCTAATGATGCAATTGCATATAATTAATTTATCGACATTTATGCACGAGTACGGAATAATTTTGTTAATTATGCTTTTTTGCACATAATTAATTTAGCGACAATCTGATGACGTATACTGTGACCCTGTACCTACAGAAGCAACCGACTTTTGATATGTTATGTTATTAAGGACATATTTCTGACTCTAAAACCGTTGATATACCTTCGATCTGCTGCAGGTTGACCGATATTTTTCCCCACAAAATGACTGGACTATTAAGACAACATTTTGCAAATAAAGTTCCTATTCACTACGGTAGTTTATAACCAGCCATAACAATATTAGCCTCCCGGCAGACTTTCTTAGGGCTCGCAACGCAATCTTTCCCCACGTTCGTGGGAGGAAAGATTGCGTGACGAGCCCAAAGAACGCTGTAACAATATAGCTTGCAATCGAGGTTAAAATATTTGCATTGGATCATGAAAAGATTCCCCATGACGTAATATGAATATGATGTTAGTCCGCTTTCTCGGAATGTCGGGAAAGCCCCTCAATGTTCGTGGTTTTACAAGCGAACTGAACTGAACGTCGCGGTAAGTAAACCTTGTGTTGTCTGTTCTCGATCTCTACCAGTTTACGATATGTAAGAAGATTTCTTTTATGATCACAACATAACTGAAGAATCAAACGAAGCGGTAATGGCAAATTCGATAACATAGAGAGCTGTTTGGTGATGCGATCTCGCGTAATGTAATTTTTACAAATGTAATTCCTAATTTTAGTATAGTAGGTCCACATCAGCCCTTTGGCTGCCTTTTTTCACAACCTACTTATCAAATAAAGTATGTATGTATGTATGTATGTATGTATGTCTGTTTTGAAAAGGCGGAAGTATGAAATTGATCAAATCGTTCAAGTGTTTTTGGATACAAATGGTAACTTGATGGTCTTTCGTGTCTTGAGGTACAGGGATGAAGAATTATAACAGACCAAGAGGAACAGTTGTTCTTTAAATTTGCAGCACTTAAACCATCGAAATGACAGGAAGCTAAAATGTAAATTCGGCTCATATATTAAACGGAATGATCGATGATCGAGGACTAGCTATTCCATCTGCCCATTTGACACAAAAATGAAGCTCGCAAATAAAAGGTACATGATATGCGTAGTACACTGTAAGATAACCTACGTTTCTTCCCGTCCGGCTTTTACATTGAGTTTTAAACCTTTTTTGCCCGCATTTTTGTGTATAACTCAATCTGCATTTGTGTTTGTTTTGTAGGTAAAATTATTAATTGAAGGCGCTGTTATTTCGTTTTGGTTTGGTTTCATTTTGATAAGAAGAGCCTAAAACAGGACACGGTAAGTTTATTTCTTTCTCCAAACTGTAAGCTGCTTAACTGAAAGCTCTGCTAGGTGATGTTAAATAGATCTAAATAATCTAAATTTCATAGATGGCTTGCATGACTCGCCTGGCCTCGCGATCGCGTGACTTAAATATTTACATTTTCGTTGGAGCGTGAAGCCTGGTTTTCACTGCGCAAGCACACTAATTCTGTGCAAGTGAAAACGAATTAACGCAAGCACAAGCACAAGAACGACATTCACCTAGACTACGACTAACGAGTAGTTCCTCGTTTTTCTCAGGGATCGAGCGGGCGAGCGCGCAAAGCGCGTGGAAATCACCTCCTGCGAGAAGACGCGACGCGAGGCGGCCTTCTCGCGGGAGGTGATTTCCACGCGCT